AAAACCATTCAAATGTTGCCAAACAAAAGGCAGCAAGTCTCTAGTGTGTGTTAAATGTGGTAATGTGTTCCATTTGTCTTGTGCAATGAGAAACAAACTTCAATGTGTCAAAATATGCGACACCCGAATTATATGTTCAACGTGCTACCTACAAGGCGAAAATATGCGCCAGATGGAAGTCACCAAAAGTGAAATGTTGTCACGAGAAAACAGTATGCTGAAAAGAATCATATGTGAAATGGAAGATAAATACAATATTTTATTAGACAACAATAAACTACTCAGACAAAATAACAACTTGCTGGAAGAAAAAGTAAATGACCAAAGAAATGTGGAGATAAGGAATATATCAACAGAAAAACCTGTGAGCAAAAAACTGTATAATGAATCAGCAAGTAAACATCGTCCAGCTGTATCTCATGAAAACAAAGGCAAACGCACAGTGTTGCCACCCATTTCTGTAAACAGTGAAAATGAAGATATTCATGAAAAATCGAAAAACACAGAGCAGTTGATAGAAACACAAACGAACAAAATGAAGGAACTGATTGATTTGCAGAATGATCTCAAAGAACCTGAAGATGATTTCAAAACAGTCATCTATAAAAAGAAATCTAGACCAAGGCAGATGAAGAAAAACTATGGAGACGATGTCACTGAAGAGGACTTTGGTGTCCAACGAAAAGTGTGGTTGTACCTGTACCGTCTAAAACGTCATGTTACTTGTGAACAAATTAGTTCCTACATCAAGAAAAAACCGCAATTTTGCAATGCAGATATAGTAATAAAAGAACTTCCTACACAAGAATCTCAAAACAAGTGTTTCATGTTCGGGATTGATTTTGATCAAAAAGATGAAATATATAAGCCTTCAACCTGGCCAAAATCAGTAGCCTACAGAAGGTTCGACTTCAATAAGTATAACCGTTATGATAAAAGAGAAGAGGATTTCTGAAGAAAATCTCTATGGAACCTACAATCCAAAAGAGAAATGAAACAGCCAATACACTGTCTATAGTGCATCAAAATATGCAATCCATTGGAACTGGGATTGATAGCCTAGTTGCAGTGTTGGATAAAATCAGTAATTGCCAGGTTTTATGCATGACTGAACACTGGAAAGATGAAGAAAAACTATCATTACATGTTATAAAAAACTATAAACTCAAATCCGCCTTCTGTAGAGAAGGGGTACGAAGACATGGAGGATGTGCAATATATGTGAAAGAAGGAATGAAATGCAAGGAAAGGAGAGAAGCAGTATCGTTATCCGTGGAAGATCATGTTGAATTTTCAGCTATTGAAATCAAGCACAGGACAAGTACAAGTAAAGTAATAGTTGTATCAGTATATAGGCCACCTACCGGAATTTTTCAAGTTTTCCTTGGAAAACTAGAAGAACTTTTGAATGTGTTCAATAATGAAACATGCAATACTGTTATTGCGGGGGACTTCAATGTAGATTTTTTAGACAACAATGTGGAAAAATTTCTCTTACTAGAATTAATCCACTCTTTTGATATATATCATGTAATAGAGGAGTATACTCGTATCACAAAAAATTCTAAATCATGCATAGATAATTTTTTAACAAACATAGAAAATGTCAAAGGCGAGGTCTTGCACTCTCACATTTCAGATCACTCAACTCAAATACTACAAATTCAGTGGCAAAACGAAACTAAAAGTATTTCAGTGTTTAAAAGAATTTTCTCACAAAAAAATATTGATAATTTTATAAACAACATAAAAATGAAAGTGTGGGATAGTATATACCACATACATGAAAGCCAGGTGAATGAACAGTGGAATCTTTTTGTAAGTATGTTTCTTGATGATTTCAATGAATGCTTTCCTGTGAAAAAAATCAAATCAAATGTTCTAAAAAGTAAACCTATTGATGACCCCCAAGTGAAAGAGTGCAAGAATCGTCTTGATATTCTTTTTACAATCAGTAAAAGAGATAAGCGCTATTATGAACAATACATACAAACCAAAAAAGAATATAACAAAAAATTGTTACAAAGCAGATCTAAAAAATATCAAAATGAAATCGCAAACTCTGATGATAAGTCAAAAACGATGTGGAATATTGTGAGAGATATTAAAGGTTCTAGTAAATCTGAGACATGTATTGAAATAGAAGGCAAAACAGAAAACATAGCTGAAGAGTATAGTAGTTTTTTAACAGATACCGTGGAAAGTCTGAAGAAGAGAATAGATAAACAAAACATACAGTTTGTGAATAGAATTATATGTAATGATAAGTCGATGTTCATAGAACCAATAACTGACATAGAAGTAGTGGAGATTGTGAGAAATTTCAAGAATAAGATGAGCAGTGGAGATGATCAAATACCAACCAAAATAATAAAATTAATTATAATATATGTATCAAAAATTCTAGCTTACATTTTAAATAATTCTTTTCAATATGGCATCTTTCCTGAAAATTTGAAAATTGCAGTAGTGAAACCAATTTATAAAAAGAAGGGTGATCCCAGTGAAATCTGCAATTATAGACCTATAAGCCTTTTACCTTCTTTCTCAAAATTATTTGAAACAGCAATGTGTAACCGCCTCATGAATTTTTTAGTGACGAGTGAGTTATTGAGTAATTCCCAGCATGGGTATCAAAAAGGAAAATCAACGACAACAGCTGTATTCCAATTTGTTCAGTATATACTAAATGCATTAGAGAACAAAAATGTAGCAATAGGTCTGTTTCTAGATCTTTCAAAAGCGTATGATTGCCTAGATCATAAAATCTTACTGGACAAACTGGAGGCATATGGAGTAAGAGGCAAGCCTTTAGAGTGGTTCAAATCATATCTTTTCAATAGAAAACAAAAAGTCTCTATTCAAAAAGACAAAGAAACTGTCACATCACAACTATCTGAAATCCACATGGGTGTGCCCCAGGGTAGCATTACTGGTCCTATTTTATTTATAGTATATCTGAATGATATGTTCGATATCCTGACAGCCCATTCTGATTGTAAATTGGTTAACTATGCTGATGATACTAACATCATGATTGAGGAGAAAGAGTTACCATCTTTGTTACAGCATTCTGATTTAGTTTTCAAAAAAATAAATAACTGGTTCTCAGAAAACAAACAATTCGTTAATGAAGAAAAAACGAATGTAGTTCTTTTCACAACTAAAAATTGCGGTTACGAGGTGCCTGGTTACATTACATTGAATGATCAAAGTATAGAAATTGCTCCTAGCACAAAATTTTTAGGTATGAATATAGACCGTTACCTGAATTGGAATATCCATGTTAACGAATTAGCAAACAAATTGAGTAAAGTGAGCTATGCGATAAGAATACTATCCAAATACTTAAATCAATTTAGTCTCAAAGTAGTGTACCATGCAAACTTCGAATCATGTTTCAGATATGGTATATTGTTCTATGGCAGCAGTAGTTGCGTAGAGCACTTATTCATTATTCAAAAAAGAATGTTAAGAATAATATACAATATGAAGTATAAGGAATCGTGTAGGAGTAAGTTCCGTTCTGCAAAAATACTAACAGTTAGTGCAGTATATATTCAAGAATGCATCTTATTCTTTTCTAAAAATAAACAGTTTTTTTCAGAGTATTCACCCCAAAACATTTATAATACCAGAAACATAAACTATGATTATCCACTGCATAGACTGGCGGTGACAGAAAGAAATGCTTTATATACTTCTCTAAAATTCTTCAACAAGAACAACAGAAATGGATGAGTCATGAAGAAACTGCATATAAATCAACATGGCATTCTTTTTTTCGCTACCACTGATGGTTTCTTCGACACCACTATCATCGGATGAAATATTTCACTCTCAACTACCTACTCCAAAACTCTCAAATTCTCATATTCTTCTAAAAAAAAAAAAGATATGGAAGATGGAACATCAGTACTGGCTGATGAAGGGAAAATGCTAATATGGTCTTTGTTTTTCAAGGCCCAACTAGGTTCAACTGTCATTGAGATGAAAAACTGTATAGGTACGTTTACTGGACATGTTCGGCTCCTCACTGCGTCTACTCTGACTCTGCTTTACGATTCCAATTCTCAATCGACTAGAACACGTATCTCGTACGTAATTTCTATCCTAATTTGAAATGTCAAACTTCCAACATGTGGGGTTCTCATCATTCTAGTGAAAATGATACCATGAGTATATTGGTATGACTATATAATTGACGTTATGAAAGTCAAGAATATTATCGCTAGACAACGATGTTGGTTGATTAATTCAGATTCTTCATTGGTGAACCAATTTCGATAATTCTCTGCAAATAAACAATATCCCTGTTAAACAGATGAAAATGTGGAACTGAGCGATTCTGATGAGTTTCCGGAAACGACTGTATACTATTAATAGAAAAACTCGTTTGATCGTACTTCGATGTAGAAATCAAAATTATTTAAGTTAAATGTATAAAACAATTGGAGGAATCCTAAGAAATTTCCACAAATGATAACGATAAAATGGTACAACTATTGACTAGAGAATCTTCACGAATGAAGGATTTGCCTATTGCATTTTCAGTTTGAAACCAGCGTCCAGGTGATAGAAGGCTGCCGTAGCTCAATTCGAATAGGTTCAATTGAATATCCACATGCTATGTAATCTTGGCAGCACCTCGATGCCATAAAAGTGGTTCTGATTCCACTTCAAGCTATAGGGCCCGCTCTTCCTAACCCCGCACAAGTTTTGACTTCTGGGAATTCGGTTCCCAACTTTGAGATAGCGATATACAATAAATTTTACAAATTTTCTCACGAAATTTTATGACCCAGTGCATTCATCCCGCGTGGATGTGAGTTGATGTTCTACGTGATAGTTGCCAAGAAATAAATGTGTTCTTTGCTTGTGTCTACCGTCGTTTCCAGAATTTTTCAAATGTTCGTGAATGATATTTTTTTTTGTCCCACCAATGATGATTCTCAAATACAAATCATAAAAAAAATCCATTATATTGCGTTCTCTATTTCAGTTATCGTAGATTCACGAAACTCTGAACCAGCATATCTCAATGAAGAGAGGGTGCTCCTGCTATTTCCGAATGAAACTCATACTGGAGTGTCTTGGATGCCAAAGAAAAATAGTTCCCAATATCTCTTGAGCCTCAACCCACCTGATACAAAAGACAGTTCTCAATACATAGATGGCGCATATATAATGGGACCCATCTCAGCCGAGTTCCATGGACTTATTTCTGGAAAACCCTACAATATATCGGTTAGAAGTCTGTCGAAATGGGAAGAATTCCATCCTACTACCATACAGTATCACCCAAGGCCATTGGGACCAGCAACAATTGATATTGATGATGATCTTATATCGACAGAATCATTTGTAACAAGATGGTCGGAACCACCTGAAAGAACGTATAGTATTACCATGATATCGTTGAGTTTTCTCGTATTATGTGAACATTGTTAGCTTCAGGAAGCAGGAATTATGTATGTTATCATTTCCCTTCTTATTTTGATATGCAGGATGTGTTTACTTGCTTGTTTAATCAATATCTAGTCCATAACTAGAAATGGCGTTGCCACACTCGATACTCAATTGGAATTTTCCGAAACAATTTATTGAATTATAAATTGAATTTTTGACCCATAATACAATGAGAAACGACAATTCTTGCTACTATGTGATGTCAATGTATGTATAGGAACTGAGATTGCCCCACATTCATACGGCAAGGCTAGCATCAGACCAGCACCAGACATTCTCGTTGTTGATTTTTTTCTTGCAACGAACTATAGAATCTCACCTCATGATGTGAAATGATAGGGAATACTTGACGAGAAAATACGGTGACAAGTGGGAAGTGACAAAAATATGATTTTGATAATGAATTACGCCATTGATGATGTCTTGAACTTCTCTATATAATTAACTATATTTCTATTCAAATTGTGTCAGGGCTCGAGTGGCATGAATGATTGGCCTTTCTCTTCCATTTATTTCTTGGCTGAGAACTGCGGCGTTGCCTCTGTAGTTGGCATAGGTTGTGAGAATCAACGGCTTCGATTAAAAATGTGTCAAATGACGATCGCACTCGCCTCTCAGAAGAGACCAGCGCGAACTACGTCATATGAACAAAATGTTTGTATCGAACTTCATTCTGCATTCATCTTGGGCATCGTGGGAGAAGAGTTTATGCAGAGTTTGTTGTTTTACGGCGAGCATTCGATAGCATGGATCATAAACTACTGTATCATACAACGTAGGAATAAGTTAGAAATCTTTAGAATCATTTTCTTTATTCATAGCTTACAAAGAAGACTATTACCGGATACAATAAGAGGACTCAACATTTATAAAAAAATGATATATGGATGCTATCGTATGCTGCTGACATTGAGAATCGAGAGTACTAGAAATACAAATGGAACTGAAGTTATGGTTTCTTGCAGTGGAGGGTATAGTAATGACTATAACTTGAGATTCTCTTTCAATGACCAAGCCTTGGAAGTCGTAAAAAATTCCACTTACTCAAGAAAACGATTATCAAAGCTTACTAGGCAATTGGATCTATAATGAATTCAATGTATTGTTTCAAGATCAATTCATGGTCCTTGTTTACGCCACGTGTAAATTAACGCCCTGTATATTAGTTATGTTGATAATATATAGTTATAGTTTATTTTATAAGGTATCAAAAATATCTAGGTTCAATTACTGTCCTTCATTGGGAATCCCTTCAGTTTTTTTTTATTCTGAAAACATTATTTTGTTTATGCTGGGCTTGACCTTTTTTGTTTTTTGTGGAAGTCAAGACTCGGCGATTCAGACCGGCCTATCGCGAAGATATCGAATAGATATCCGGCAGTACCAATTGACTCTTCGGTATACGCGCATGTATTTAAAAATATACATTGTTTGACGTGCCAAACCCCATTTTTTGGTGACTCGTAATCTCATCTCTCGTGAGTAACCCCTAGTGTGCTATCTCCCACCAACATACAGTCCACTCATTCCCGCTTGGAGGACGGTGGTTGCAACCCCAGAAGACCTGCTACAAGTTGGAGAGACCATAAAAGGAATACCAGGTAGGCCAAGTTTAGCCGTCTTCTTGACTTCCTAAATGTTTGCAACTTCAACCTAGTCCTCGCTACATAACATTACATAACATTTTTGGTCCTTGAAAGCCAGATCGAGTAGACTGGGGGTATCCTCAATGAAAATATTTCAATATTTTCAAAGCAAATTTAGCTCTGAAAATCAATTCACTAAATCATTTCAGGTATCGACGTGGTCGATATACCAGTTTTTGTGTCTCGTGGGTTCTCCGTTTTTGAACAGTTGCTACGGATGTTTTTCTAGCCGCTCTCGGAGGTATTTTGACAATTTTATGTTCTCGCCTACTCGTGCGAAATATATTGTACTTTTTTTTTCAGTGCAATTGTTTTACACCTTTATCGATAAAGTAATACGTAGTTCTCTGATAAACCGATTGAAATATCGTAGGATTAGTTTGTCAACATCCATTTCTTTCGGGTTTCTCTCGTTCTGTTGATAGCTGTGTAGCCGAAGCCGCTAAAGTGAATATTTTCATTATTATGGCGGCAAAACAACTCAAGCAGTACCGCGCTGCTAGAGAAATTCATCGCAATAGAATTCATGAAACTTTTGAATTAGCTATCGCTGCTTTAGATGATCAGTCACAACACAGTTCCCTTAAAGTCCGGTTCTCTGAATTAGGAAATATCTATGCGGAATTTAACTCATGTCATAACTCAATTATTCAGTTGTTATGTGTCCAAGAGGAAGCAGCGGGGATTTTGGAGGAAGAAAATGAGTTTCGGAAAGATGCCGACGATGAATATTTTAGCATTAAAACTATTTGTTATGATCTCTTCGAAGCGAATCAACTTACTTTCCCAAAAGTCTGAAGTGTCAGGCTGCCGAAATTGAATGTTCCTAATTTCAATGGGAATTTGAAAGCTTGGCCGACGTTTATAGATTTATTAAATTCATTGATTCACGAAAACGACTCCTTATCGAACATAGAGAAGTTCCAATACCTCTTATCAGTGGTGTCGGGAGAAGCTCTTTCTTCACTCAAAAATCTCCCGCTCACCAATAACAACTACTCAATAGCATATAATACACTGACATCTCGATTCCAAAATGAAAGATTATTAGCCAACTTTTATTGGGAAGAGATAGTAAATGCTCAAAAGATAACCTCAGAAGCTTCCCGTAATCTGAGACATTTATTAGACATATTTAGTGATAATTTACAAGCTCTGAAAAATTTACAATTCCCGGTTGAGAGCTGGGACTTTGTATTGTTTCATTTATTGAGTAAAAAGATTGATTCAGAATCTCTAAAACGTTTCGAGTTGGACAATTCATCTTCAGACGTGCCAACTTATGAAAGTCTTTATGAGTTTCTGAGTGAGCAATGTAAAGCATTCGATTCAATGGGATTGGGCAAAAGTAGTATGAAATACAATTCAAATATACAAAATAAGAAACCTGTAACATTGAATAAATTTGCTCCTCCATTTTCTTCGTCCTCTCTTTTGGTAGAGACTAAGTCGAATGTAAATCGATGTGCCCTATGTAAAGCTCTACACACAATTTACCAATGCCCTACGTTCTCTGCTAAATCTCCAAAAGAGAGGTACGACCTAGTAAAACAAAATAATTGGTGTACCCACTGTCTGGGTTCCAAACATACTGCGAGACATTGTAACTCTGCCTCCCATTGTAGGATCTGTAATAGTTCCTGTCAACACACATTACTACATTTCGGTTCTAACTCCTCTGATGTGCCTCAGCCTCCTCATCACATTGCTCAGTCTAACAATGCGGAAACCTCCTCGGAAAGTTCGGCTATAAACCCTGAAATTCAAATTACATCCATGACAAATGTTCTGCCCACCTCCTCAACGGTACTCCTCTCTACGGTTCAACTCCAAGTGCTGGATATTCGTAACAATTTTCAAACTATAAGAGTTCTCTTGGATTCTGCAAGTCAAGCCAGCTTCATTACTGAGAAATGCTGTCATAGGTTAGGTTTGAAAAAATCGAATCTTCCCCTTTCCATTAATGGGTTAGATCAGATGCAGTCTGTAGCTTCAAATGTTGTTACTTGCCATATCGCTCTGCTCCATTCACCAATTCCCGTTTTTACCGTGGAAGCCGCAGTGCTTCCCCGAATATGTGCGGATATGCCAGCATACACTTTCTCTATTGCCGAATGGTCATATATAGCCAATCTCAAACTCGCTGATAACAGTTTCAATGTATCTGGCCCCGTTGATATGCTCCTAGGAGCTGACATTTTCTCCTTGATTTTAAGGAATGGACAAGTGGTTGGTCTTAAAGAAAATCCCATCGCTTTCAATACCATATTTGGATGGATCCTAATGGGAAAAATGTCGTCGATCCCAAAACTCTCCCCATTAACCTCTCTGATGACTTGCTGTGATTTAGACACTACTCTTAAACAGTTTTGGACAGTCGAAGAAAGTCCACAAGCCAAGATTTGTTCAGCTGAAGAAATCCAATGTGAGGATAATTTCAATAAAACTCATTTTCGTACCCCTACTGGCAGATATGTGGTATCCCTCCCGTTCAAAGATGATATTGAACCTCACTTCCAGGACACTCGTAAACACGCTCTTCGATTACTAAACTCATTGGAACGTCGCTTAACGAAAGATCCTCCGCTGTATTTAGAATATTGCAAGTTCATGAGAGATTATCTGGATAGCAATCATATGGAACTTGCGCCCTCTAAACAATCTTCACCACAAGTTTGTTATATTCCCCACCATTGTGTGATCAACCCAAATAGCTCGACTACAAAATTGAGGGTTGTTTTCAATGCTAGCTCTCGCTCATCCTCGGGTCTTTCTTCAAATGATCATTTACTTGTTGGAAAAAAACTCCAACAAGATATTGTAGCCCTCTTGCTGAATTTTCGTACACATCTTCATGTATTTACGGCTGACATCAAAGGTATGTATCGTCAAATACTCGTAAATGAATGTCACCGAGATTATCAACGCATTCTGTGGCGATTTTCACCCTCCGAGGAGGTGCGCGATTATCGACTCAACACCGTCACTTTTGGAGTGAACTCATCACCCTTTCTCGCGATAAGAACCCTCTGTCAGCTAGCCCAAGATGAAGGAAAGGATTTCCCCTTAGCCTCATCAGTATTGACGACTGATATTTATGTTGATGATCTCGTCACTGGATCTAGCACGTTAGCAGATGCCAATGAACTACAATGTCAGTTAATTAAGTTGCTCGGTAGGGGTGGCTTCAAGCTCCGCAAGTGGGCAAGTAATCACCCCAGCCTTCTGAACAAATTTCCTCTCGAAGAATGTCAACAGGACCATTCTTTCGACTCTCAAGA